TTTTTTTTTTTTTTTTTTGAATGAACGATCCCAACTTGAATTTAGTGAAATACAATGGCGAAAATATAAATAGGGAAGATACATTTTAGCATTCCTTGGTCATTCCCCTTTTGATTATTTAATGTTTATTATTTTTTTTATGAAAGTGTAGCTCGTTATATAACAAAAACCATTTAAATCAAACATTGTACAAAAATTGGCGAAATTCGACAAAGTTTTATCAATATTTGAGCTTTTTAAATATATTTCTTACAGCCAGTTTTACCAAACTCATTTAAGTGGAAATTAACTTTAATTAAATTTTTTATTTAATTCTCATTCAAAATGTTTTCGGTTTCAATAAGCTATTTATTTAAGTGAGTAAAAAGTGGTTGTAAAACAGACTAGGCCAGCGAAAGCTTTCTTTTGTACTGAGAGCTTTTGAAAGCTTTGGCACGCTGTGTTGTAAAAGCAGGGCTGGTATACAAGTAAGCAGCAGATACACAATGATCTGGTGTTTAAACGTGTAACACCTCTGAGTGTGGTTATTCTGATTTTATTTTTATTTAAGTGAAGAGTATAGGTCACTTAAATCAAAATTTAAAACAAATTAAATTGGATTGGTGAAACCAAAAATTCGAAAAACAAAGCAATTTTCACTTATGTAAATGAATCTGGTGAAACTGGCTGTTAGAAACTTTCCGAGTACATATGCAGTTTTGTAGCCCATTCAATTCTAGTAAAACGAAGTGAAAATTTGGTAAATTTGTTTAAGGAAGGTGTTGGCCATTTTCCCCAAACAAAAAAATTGTGGAACATACTTTGTATGGCGCGAACAAAAAATTGCCAAAAATCAACGGTAAGTCCAAGCTACTTCGAACTTGCACTTTGTTATATAAAAATTCAATGGGCTACAAAATTGCATGCTCAAAGAAATTCTAAAAATCTGATTAAAAAGTGAAAAATTTTGATCAACATTTGTCAAAATTGGTCGAATTTTTGTAAATGTTCTACAAAGTTTGAAATCTTGATTTACAGTTT